CCTTCCTTCTTTCCTTCCTTCCTTCTTTCCTTCCTTCCATGCCTCCCTCCTTCCTTCCTATCATCCCCCCTTCCTCCCTTTCCTTCTCCTCCCCTGATACTCTGACACAGCTGACCTAAATACTTTACTCTGAGAAAAACACTAGAATACAGTTTCTGGCTTTGTTTAAGGTGTGTTGCTAAGGAGTAATTACTTACCAAGAAAAATAGTAAAACATTTGCCTCAAGCGGATTTTGAAGGGAAAATGGTTACTAAACTATATAAATCCTGAGAGGACAAACATGGAAATGGAAAGAGAAGCATAACATATTATGCGAAAGTCCATTTTCTTTAAAAAGGTTTTGAACATCAGCTTTCCTCATTCATCCAGTGCACCAAATTAAACTTTTTGAAAATCATGTAGTTTAGAGATGACATCAACTCATGACAATGATGTAATATTTGGATTTATTACCCAGTGGGTCTTAATTTTAGGATCTTCACATAGTATAAATATAGTACATATGAGTTAAGTATCATCTTACCTACTATAATAATATGCATATTATCTCTAGAGAGTTCAAATAAGGAATGTTTTGGATTTGGCCTAGAAATTTGTTTAGCTGGCTGAGTAACAGAAATCACAAGGATGGTAGAACAGGGTGCAGACGTAGTCTGACTCAGCAGCAATTATGCGAAGCTTTGTTTCATCAGTGCTAAAAAGGCAGCTAGGTTATTTTCAAGTAGTCTATGATCTATAAAGAAATATGGTTTACAATAATAATAAAGAATAGTTAAGTCAACTAGCAGCTATTGAACCAAAAGACTATTCTAAGAAGCAAAACAATACCAGTGCAATCTCTACATTATCACTCACTCAGAAATGACAGTGAAGCTTCCAGTCCCTCTGTCTCGGGACTGTTATGACCACTTGCCCATGTCTGCTGGCTGGCCCCAGAGGATTGGGCTTTGGAAGCAGATGAGATTCTGTAGTCAGTATTGCCTAGTTCAGGTTCAGCAAGAATGGGACCTTGGCCTAAGTAACAAGGACTTATTAGGTGTCAGACTAGAAAAGTTTTCACTTGGTCATTTTGTCTCAGATGTTTTTCTGAAACTGAAATTTAAAAGCAAGAACTTGGTTGGTGTCTAACCTCCACTGTTTTCCACCCATAGTAAGAGAGGACTGTGCATGCTGAGACCCCATTTCAGCAGGGTGTGACCCACACTTTGTTTCCTCTCTCTGTTTAGCCCTTCATCCCTAAAGGCTCCTGTCCTTTACCTCTCTATAAAGGGGACCACAGAGTCAAAGGTAATTGTCAGTTCTCACAGCATTAGTACCAAAATGGAATCGTCTCATACAGAGAATTTCTTAGAAAATCATCCTTTAGATGAGATAGGATACTTTAAGGTATTTTTTAAATACCTTTGGTTTTAGGGAAAAAAATATTCAGGCTGCTGCTGCTGAGGGTTGTAATGGTGCAGGCTGGACACAGTTGCAGGGTAGCGTGTATTTTCACTTTTCTGAGTTTTGGTAATTCTTCTGTTCTCATTCTGTTCCTTTCTTTCCTTTTCCTTCACTCTACAATTTTATAGATCTGCTAGGCCATTTTTCTCCTTAAAAATAATGCAAAATGGGGCAGAATAAATCCACAGTGCTTCCTTTTTCTAATTGACTGTTCACTGTGTAAGGCTTTAGATGTCATTACCGGCCAGCTCAGATGAAAAGAAAAATGTGCAGAGGAGTAAGAAGAAAAGTCTGAGAAATCATCCAAGAACTTCAATTTCCTGTATCATCATTTCTTAGGGGTTTATTGTTTATTTCTTTTTAGAGTGCAGTAATTTCCCCTTATCTGTGGGGGATACATTCAAGACTCCTAGGAGTTGCCTGAAACCATAAAAAGTGTTGAACTCTATTTATAATACTTTTTCCTGTACATACATACCTATAATAACATCTAATTTTTAAAGGATGGGAGACCATAATTGACAGTGGGTGACTGAAACTGGGGAATACAAAGCCACAGATAAGGTGGGGACACAGTCCTGAGTGTTTTTAGCCAATAGTGTCTGTGGGACTTGGGCAGTAGGAAGGTGAAGGGAAGTGGAACCACTAACATAGAACTTTCAAAAATGATTTAAGCCATAAAACAAAAATACAAGTCTCTTTCATGTCATACTTACTTTAATCCTCACTATTAGACCTTTTTTCCCTAATTCCCAAATGTCAAAACACAAGTGCTCTAATTTGGTCTAATTCTCAGGGACGTCCACATCATGCCTTCTCCCATGCTACTTTCGAAACAAAACACACTCATCCCATCTTAAAACATGCTAGAATCCTGAGCAATTTAATATTGGAAGAACGTTTTGCTAAGAATTTTCACTCAAATTTTAAGAATGTCAGTATAAAGATACACCCAAGTTTATTCCACGTTCCCTGGCCAACTTGGAAAAAGCATTCTTGTGCTTTAAAAATTCCTCGTGTGGCCTGTCATTTATCTCCTCAACAACTCAGCATGACAAAATTCATGACCAACATCATCAGCCTACACAGTGAAGATGTTCTTGTGTTACCTTTGACATTGAAACATAGCCCACAAAAAACTAGGATTAATTATGAACTCAAGACAACAGCTGTTATAAAGACAGGTGCAGAAAGCTAGTCTATCCTCTATGCACTACCAAGAATAATCTTTCAAAGTTTTCGTTCATGTCATTTGTCCACTCAACTTTTTTCCAGAGGAAAAGTTGTCTATCTTCATAAATTCCTCCTTATAACCTGCACTCTTTCCCTCTGACCTCATCTCGTGGCCCTCCACTTTGTTCACACCACACCTGTCACAAAGGCCACCTTTGAAAATCATTCAGCAATTCTGCACCCAACTTGGGGCCTCGGGACTCTGTTCCACGGGCTGGTTCCTACAGAAGAGGGAGTACCCCTTCCCTCCCACACTTCATCCAGATCTCTGTGCATATTTACCATCATTAGAGAGGACATCCCTAAAATGCTACCCCTTCCTCAAACCATCACTCTTGTCTTTTTTCTGCTTTATTTTTTCTTCTAGCACTTATCCCAGATGCCTCATAGCTCTCTCCTAAAATATAAACTCCAGATAGACAGGGAGTTGGTTGTGCCCACACTGAGAACAGTTATTTCTCAACAAATATTTATCAACAGAAAACAATCTATTGGAAAAAACAATCACATACTTGCACAGTTTGTGTGGCAATTGTAATTTACACCTCAGCTCATAACACATGATTTTCTTGGTCTTTAATAAGGACCATTTTGTCCTGCCCTCATGATGACAAAATTGCATTTCATTGTAGTTATAAACATTATTTAGGTTTGGCAAAGCACTATGCTTTTTTCCTGATTCACATATCAAAATATAAAATGCCTACTTCCATATACATTCCACATTATAATTTACATTAAAATATACCACTCTTTATTTTATTTATATTCATAATGCATACATTATATTAACATCACAAATGCACATGAATTGTTCCACCCTTCCAACAGATTGCCAAGACTGTGTCATGGTGCATTATGACAAATTAAACTGAAAATAACAGAAAAAAATATTAAAATAAAACTATGCCCTATAGTACTAAAGTAACTTATAAGGAAGCTATCTCATTAGAGGTAGAAATTATAATTTTTTACTTCATTCACTTCACTGCATACAGAAAATTTTATACACTTCATCTGATTTGTTGATGGACAAGACAAAGCCTGATTAAAGGAAACATTATAAAACAAAAAGGGGGATGACATCATTTTATGCTACCAACCTAAAAGTTGTGATTGGCAATGACTGGACTTACTTATTCAGTGTTGTGATCTTAAGTAAAAACAACTCAGATTAAATTTTATTATCTTAGATGATATAAAACATCACTAATTATATGTATCTTTTTAGCCAATAAGTCTATTGTTATGTTACTATAATTCCAGTTTTCATTCTAAGCTAATTGAAAACTGATTCATTCAGGACCATACAAATACGCGAGTCTTTTATGCATCATCTTTGCCCTCATTTCATTTCAACCTAAGGTTCTAGTTAGGAATCTAAGTAAAATATATCCAATTTCAATTTCATGACTTCACCAACTTTCTGGTCTAATTACATGAACTGTGTTTTTGCAGACTAACCACCTATATGGGCCTTCATGTCAAAGCTCTGAACTTCGTTCCAACTCTTCCTGTACCATCTCACTGAAGACTCAGAAAGTGGAATTTGTTGTAACATCTTTGCATCGATATTGTGATAATGAACCATTCAGCTGAAATCTGGACGATTTAATCTGAAATGTTTCTAGAAGATTTTATTCATAGAAAAACACTGAGAACACAAAGTGGCCATAAAGTTTGTGTGCAGTTTTGAATAATGTGAAATTTTAAATTGCACATAACTTTATGGCCACCCTGTATTTTTTTTTAAACATTTAAAAAGAATTTTATGAAAGTAGACTCTCTTCCAGGTAACATCACAATGCAACGTCTCTGCAACCTATTACCTAGTTCTAACCTCTGTCATATGTATCCTACTGGGAAGAAAAAAAGATTTTTACTTAAATAAATCATAGTAAACAATCTGATTTTCTAAGGTGAAAACAAAAATAACAAATAAAACCAATGTCAATATTTCCACTGAAATTTAACACCTCTACCTTTTTTGATTAGCAGCTTACTATATTCTATAAATTTCCTAGATATATTTACATGCACCAGAATTTAATAATGAGATCACAGATTTGAATTATTTTATAAAAAGGTAACAAATATATTTTAACAAGAATCTTGATTAATATATGGCAAAATATCTTTTAAAATATTGGACCCTTTGTATTAGGATTCTAGGGTAGAGGTTGACAAACTTTTTCTGCAAAGGCCCAGCTAGAACATTTTAAGGGAGTTCTAGACCATTCAAAAATATAAAACAAAACAAAACAAAAAGATATAGAAAGACAGTGGTAGGCCAGATTGGGCCCATGGGCTAAAGTTTGTCAAATTCTGTTCTGGAGCAATTTTTGAAAACTTATTCAAAGGTCATATCCTTGGCTATGCCCTGCTATCTGGAATGGTTTCGTCTACATACCTGCATCCCACCTTCAGAAAGTTAGATTTTTATCTAACTTTTTTTTTTTTTTTTTTTTTTGAGACAGAGCCTCAAGCTGTCCCCCTGGGTAGAGTGCCGTGGCATTACAGCTCACAGCAACCTCCAACTCCTGGGCTCAAGCGAGTCTCCTGCCTCCGCCTCCCAAGTAGCTGGGACCACAGGCGCCCGCCACAACGCCCGGCTATTTTTATCTAACTTTTAAAGTCTCTCAAGCTGTTCTTTAGGAAAACCTCCAAGAAAATGGGTCTTCTATTTCTTTGAGCCTCACAGAATTTTGTTCCTTCTCTGATTTCAGGAGTTACTACTAAGCAACCTCCCACAGTGGTATGCCAAGTCTTCCTCTTACCATTTTCTGAGAGGAACCCTCTCTTACACATTTCTTACTGACTGTGGAGGTTTGCACTTAGCAGGTTTATAGTAATGGTTGATAGGTAACTAATGATAGGTAACTATTCAACATTCTAAGTTCTTAGAAGTAGGCCCTGCTAGTGTGATTAATCACTTTAAAGGGCCTAAAAGAAACATAAGCATTAAAAATATTCATAATTTTTTTCTGAAAGATGGATCTTATTAATAATAAAATGCAAATTTTATCTTGGAATCAAGCATGCTCACTGCACAGGCAGGGGAGATGAATGAGAGAGAACAGAAGGACCATGGGACCATTTAAAGGGCATCGGGTACTACCTAACAGCTAGGGATCTGGAAGGCACAATTGCCGTCCACAGGACCCAGCCCAGGCCTTTCTCTGCCACCCTAAAGCTGAGATGAGCATTGACCTTCCTCACGTCTAAGGCCCTGTGTCCTGGCTGTCCTGACGCTCCTCACTCTTCCAACTTCACTAGTAACAAGCACACCCACTCAGCAGCCCCAGCGACCAGAAACCAACTGTTTCAAAGAAGAACTAGAAGCACAGAATTTCTTAGAAAATTTTTCTTTGTTTTATCTATGTCTAAATACAGTCGAGAGCTTTACAAACTCTGGAACCATGGTGCCTGAATTCAAATCCTGGAAGGGCCCTTTATTAACTGTATGGTTTTGGAGTCGTACCTTTCCTCTTCAAGCCACAAGTTTTTATCTAGAACCCAACTTTCATAGAGAGATTGGGGCTATTGTGAGGAAGCAATGAGTTAATAAGAGGGAAGTGTTTAGAACTATGCCTGGAACACGTTAAGCATTTACAATGTTAGCTGCATCTCTATAAATCCATGGGTAGCAAAGAGCAAATGGCATTGCTAGTATTAAATAACCTCTAAAAAGCCACACATACCTTGCCTTCAGACACACATTGTGCTTTATTTGATTCTTGAGATAGAATTACCATAGGAAGGAATTTACAGAAAATAGGAAACAAGATATATAAGAATCATCAAGTAATTTTTTAAATGCAATAGAAGGAAAACAGCAAGCTGAAAATACACGTATGATCATGTGACAAAGAGAGAAACAGGAAACTTATCAAATCCCTAAAGTATCGTCACAAAAGTATATCTCAAGCTGTGGCAGAATGCAATGACCAGACAGCTTCCATGCGTGCGGACAATGGCAGGTGAACTCAATGGCCGTACTTACCACCTGTCTCCACCCCAAGGAAACCTGCCTTTTTGTCCTTCACCTTAGAATTGCTTCCTTCCCAAAGCTTACTCTTCTCCTCCTTTTCTCCTGCAGACGCCTGTTTCCTGGACTTCTCAGATAAACTCTCTGCAATCTCTGGGATTCCTCTCTCTATTTCTTCCTCACGAATGTTCTCAAAGTCTTCCTCTATCGGCAGAGATTTGGTCTCCACATCTGCTTTTGTTACTCTTTGGTCTTCCGTTTCAGTTTCTAAGGATTCCTCAATCAGAAGGTGGGATTGTCCCAGCTCCTCATTTTCACTCAGCTCCTGGGGAGATGAACTTCTGGAACTTTCTTCTGTGCTGTTTTCTGTGTGGATGTCCCTGTCTTGCAGTGGAGACTCATCCTCGCTGCTACTCGAATAGCGATGACTTCTGAATGAGACTACGGATGTTATTTTTATACCTATAAAGAATAAAAATGATGATATTACTGTTGTTCCATAAAGCAATCAGTTTAATTGTAAGAATTATGTTAATAATCATGCTAAAATTTTAAAAATATACCTTAATATAGATATGATACCCTTTCTCCATTAGGTCTACATAATTGTCATGATAAAGAAAAACCTTTAATCTATGGGTCTATAGATATTTACAACAGGAGATCACATTTAACTGAGAACCAACCCTGTTTTTGTTTTTTCAAAGTCATTTTAATGGAAAAAACCTCTGTTTTATTTATTGGAATTTTAGTAGAAAAACATCTATTTTATTATAGAAAAAACTAAATAATTGTTTGTACAGCAAGAACACTTATTATCTTACATGTTTATAGCCACAGTATTTTGTGTGCATGAAACTTAAATTAACGGCCGCAATCTCCTTAATCCCAGTATACCCTGGTATCTGGGATTAGTGAGATCTATGCATTCACACAGCACCTAGACACTTAGTAAATATTCCTGGGCCCTACGTGTGTGGGGGTGTGTGTACAAGGTTTTGTCTTATTTCATGTTCCTCAGAAGCAGACACTGAGATGAAGATTCATGTGCAAGAGACGTATTAACAATGTGTTCCAGGAGAATCTCTAAGGGAGTGGGGGAAGCAAAGAAGGGATGAAATCAATCAAGGGAGCTATTTTGAGCAACATCTCAGCCTCAGCTTGATCCCATGGGGACCTCTGAATGTAAAGTGGTAGGAGAATATTATTTATATTAGGAAGGAGCTGGGCTCTTATACTTTGGACCAGTCAGACATTGGCTAGGGGCAACGACAGGAGGACATAAAATCCCTGGAATTTCCATGCTGTTTGTGCCAGAGAGTAAAGCATCTCCAGTAAGCTGGGGCAGTCCTTTGAAGGGAGCAGAGGGTGTTGGGCACACAGAGTCAGTAAAAACATTCAAGGGACTCTAGGCAGTATACTGATGGGATGCCAGAGATATGCAGTCTATGATCTTAGAGTAGCCTCAATGGTGTCTGTACAACCCAAAACCTTTCAACAAACTCCAAGAAAGTAACACATGCCTGGGATCCTATAAGAAAGATGTAGCCTCGCTCATCACCCACACTGTGGTGCGTAAGAGAAATACAAACTTGCTTCTGCGTTTTTAACCAATAGATCTGCGTTTATCACTGTGTTTTATAGAATACATTTTCACATGAAATATCCTCCATTTCCATGCTGCTGTGCTTTCTTGTTTTCTTTGTAGTCCATACTCCTCCTTCTGTTTCTTTCATTTCTACGTGGCAGCTACCCAGATAGCTGTAGCAGCTAACTTGGAGCGTAGGGGAAGAAACACCTGTCTTTACCCTCTTCCTCTTCTCCCCACCCCTCCAGCTCCGCCTGCTCTCCAGGACAGGCCTTAGCCTTGTAAGTAGAGTCTCAAAGGTGCATCAGAGTTTCCACACAGATTCGAGAGGCGCTACACAGCAGTAACACACACAAACTCAAAAAAACCTTTAAGCAACTGAACTCTTAACTATGACTCCATTTGTCCTTATATCCCGATGTGTTGACAAACACCAGATGCCCAGTTTTTCAAAGGAATCACATATTCTAGCCACTCGTTCTTTATTCTCCACTTTGAAAAATCTGTCTCTCTGTAGGGAATGGCAGATCAAGGAGGGTTGTTCCCCATCTTATCTGTATCAATTATGAAATGTAGGGTCTATTATGAGCAGCTCCCCAAACCTTAAGTGTCTTATGTTTATTTTTTAAAAAATAAGTGGTTTGTTCAATACTTTTCATTATTTGTGCTTTCATCAATAGTTTTCATTAATTGCACAGTTAGTGAGAACACAATGCTAAGTTGTTCTGAGCTTCCAAAACTATATCGACCATCTGAACATTAACAGGATGACGCCCACTTTTGTTTTTCATATACTAATAAAAAATTCAGTGCTCCTCTATCTTTCTTTAGTAGCTTCCATTAATTGTATTATTTTATTTCAAAGGGCTGGACTTTGGTTCAATTTTGAGACATTCCTGTAGAGAAGACTGACCAGCAAAATGAATGGCCTTGGAGTAACAAGGGCACCGAACCTCCATATAAACTCATTTTGGTTTTCAAATTTCTCTCTAACCTCATAATATGATTTAGTTTCACTCTCATTTCTTGCTCTCATTTTCATACAGACACTGGGGTAAGTAAGACTTTGCCTACCAAAAAACTCCAAAAGCTTCAAGGCCTTTGAATGGTATTTTCCAAATTAATTTTATTTATTCATTTTGAAATATTAACTGAACTTTGAGAGCACATATATAAATCTCCTTTGTCTTTAGGAGGGCAAAATTATCTTTATATCACACAGGTAAACAACTCCGCTTCCTCTCGGATTTCACCTGCGTCTCCAGTGTTTGCTCTTGCTATTGACATTTAAAGAACCTGCCCTTGGTCTCTTTGGCAAAGAAAAGATTTGCACTCATCGCCAGTGGCCGTGTCCAAAGCCAGCAGATTTGGTGTCACTGTTCCATGTCTAAGAAGGATCTCCCACATTCAATCAGTCCCTAGATCCTTTGCCCCTCTTCATATCCTTGGTAACTACTTATTGATAACTATTCCTCCTTTGGCATCACTACAATTAAAATCGCATTCCACACAACGTAAGACTGAAAGAAAATAATATGCTCTTCACTCAGACAAAGCTAAGTGCCTCCATCACAACTCAGCTACTTACTCGCTTTGACTTAGTACAGAATTTCTCTAAGCCTTTGTTTTCTTGGCCATAAAATGGAGATAATTTTACTTGCTTTCCATAAATCATTGTAGAAATTACATTGGAAAAATTTTAACCTAATCAAATAGAACAATCATTTCTTTATAGGTTATAGTGTTTTCCTCTATGACATCACACATGAGGTATAGTCTAATAAATATTTTCTTATGATTTCCTTCTGATGTTGAGTGATATCACAGCCATCACTTACTGAGGATAAACGACAAACCTTGATAATGATTGTTCACCGACTACGTATCAAACAATGACATAAACACTTTACAAACATCCCATTTAATGCTATGATATAGGTCCAAAGAGGTTAAATAATATCCAGAATCCATTAGCTCAAATGTAGCAAGTTTTGTAAAAAACTCCTACCTAAACCACAACCTCTCTATTCGCTAAAAGGCCTTCAACTGGGAAGCATCTGCAGTCATGGGCCACCATTGCCCATTTCAGCTCAGCTAGCTTCCACTGTTAGGACACAAGCATAACACATTGAGGTTCTCTCCTCAAGATCGAAACTCATGAAATACAGCTTGTCATCCTTTGTATATCTCTATGTTTCATTTTTTCCACCACACTAAAACCTACTGAAAACAATCTGATGTGTGAGATATGAATATATAGAAATAAAAAGCAGTCAGTCAATACCTTCTCTGGTTTATTTATAGCATTGATAACAATGCTATTTGTATGAAAATATACATGCCATTCAGTTGTTTAACAAATATGACGGAACCCTGTGTGGGCATTCACAAAGATGGCACATGGGTGTGTGTGCCTGCATGTCAGGATCCCCTGCCTGATCACCGGGTTGATACGCTCCTGCCCAAAGGCCCCAGCCACAGACAAGTTCACAGTCAACACCAGCCCAGCCAATTCAGGATGCACACTGCTCTGTCCCCTCATAACTGAGGCTCTGTGCTGTCCGCCACCTGCCTACACACTTACGTAAATTCATTGGTCCACTGAATGCACATTGAGCTCCTTCTGTGTCAGGTGATGCCCTATAAGATCTGTTTGCACACAGATCACACACTCGTGACAGGCCGTGACTAGCTCTGTGCCTCCTTTTGCCTGAGGACAGTAGATCACCTGCGCCTGCTTGTTAAGGTGTGGCTCATTCTTCCAGTAGTGACTGCGTAAGTCCCTGAGAAGCTGTTGCCATTCTCTGACTGCAACAAGTAGCCAAATTGACTGCTTTAAATCAAGGACGTGTCCTAACCTTAGTTTTCAATCATTGTCTCACCCCCTAGCATGGAGCATGGTTGTACCACAGTTTAAATTTACCACTTCCTCAATTAGTGTCTCGAGTTTAACTCCTCTGTTTTTGGTTTAAGTACTCACACTAAAATGGTGAATTTCATTAAAACTTTAGACCACCCTGATACATTATGGATTCCAACCCAGTGATTCCAATACACTTCTCAACTCTAATACTAATCAAATGTCTCTTTCTTATTCCTTAGTCCAACGGGTCACAGTGAAATCTGCATAAACACTGCTCCTATTTCCTCCTAATTAGCCATAAAACATGAATTTATATTTCTTATTATTACCTGCATGAACAGTTGTGTCTTGATTATACTCACAAGTTCATGAAAATCTGTTTATATTTCATATCAGACACTGGAGCTCAGTCAAATCCTCCATGTACAATAACTAATTAGACAAGTGCTTTATTCTCAATAAGTGTTGTAGAATGAATGCACGCTTCATGAAAATAAAAGTAGATATCATTAAATTCCAGCTATAAAACATTAACTAGATTTTTATCTGAAGAGAAAGTATATGCCTTCATACTAACAATCATTACTGTGAATTAAAATGTCTCATTTACCAATGACGCAAATATACATATACGTGACACTTAAGAACACATATCTACAGGCAAATGAAGACACAAGAGGAGAAGAAACATGAATAAAAACTTAAAACTTCCTCCATATTTTTCTTTAATTGCCTTATAAAAATTTCCTCCATATTTTCCTTTAATTCTAAACATTAAAACAGTTAAAATACTCAATGCAATCAAATTCTGTTTGTGTCTTTTTACAATTATCCAATGATCTATTTAATCTATTTAACCCATTATTCACAAGACTTTACTGAGTGTCTAGGAAGTGACTTTGCTGTGTGCAAGGCAGATTTAAACTCTTGAGAAATACCTCACATAACAGAATGGACGGTTCTGCATTTAAGTATTCTCCTAAAGTTGTGACTTCTTACTTCAACAATGGAAAGATAAGGATGGATTGAGGAATTCATACCCAAGAAAATGAAAGTTTGACTAGCCATGCAAAAAAATCATACGTAAAGAGTGTCATTTCACAGCACATATAATTTCAACACAGAAGGAGCAGCCTGCAGTCACTTGCTTCTCTTCAAGCCCATAACTGGGCCAAGAAATAGTGAGAGTCCGAGAGTCAAGTAAGCAGAATATTATTGTGACTCTGGGATTTTACGTCTATGAGGCCTATTTCTTCAACAGACTGGAAAATAACACAAATGAAATCATCTTTCTTACTAGAAAAAAAATTGCTTCATCTCACTTTCTTTCCCTTATATTCTAGGAAACATTTCTTCTCTCTCTCTCTTACCCCCTCTACCCTTTCTTATAAGGAACTAATGAGTCTTTTTTCATTATGAATTATTTTTTAAATTTGTAATTGACAAATCATCATTGTACATATTTATGGAATACAGTACATTGTTTAGACGCATGTGTACATTTCATAATGATCAAATTAAGGTAACTACCATGCCATCACTTTAAACATATATTTCTTTCTGGCGATAGCATTCAACATCGTCTTTCCTCACTGTCTTGAAATACACACCACGTCGTCATTGGCTCTGGACACCCGGCTGTGTATCAGAACACCAGAACTTATTCTCCTGTCTACACGTAACTTTGTCCTCTCTGACCTCTTGCTCATAGGCACAGTCATCCAAACTGTTCATGAAAGTGTATCCTCCACGCCATGAAACTTTCCCCTGCAATCTTATAACATTCATCTATGACAATATATTTTCAACTCGAGAATTAGTGCCTGGGGTTGCCAACACAAATGCAGAGAATAGGAAGCTGTCGTTCTTTTTAAATGATAGGACGTCTCACACATCATTCCTAAACCAGGGCCCTGTCTAGTCACTTTTCCGCGGGTAGCGCTCTATCACTCCCCAGCCGCTCAGCACACTGTGTTCATCAAGGCGGGCCGACGCAATTGTTAGCCGGCAGTTTAAATGGGGCCGACTTGTCACAAGAGTGACAGCCTGGGCAATTGTTTGCCCTCTGGGAACAGGTGCAGGCAGGTTCAAATGAAACACATCCAAATACTAACAGCAAGATTCTTAATCATGTCAGCACAAAGGACGTGCCGGTGTCTGGGAGTCAGTGGCCACAAGGTGCCTCTCACACTTTTGAAAATGAAATGCTGTCTGGCTTTTCAACAGAGCGTTCCAAGGAATCTATCATGTCATTATCATTTTTAATACATGCCACTTGCCTGCCGGATGAAATCTCTAATTCTGATACTCTGCATGCAAAAAGGCTTGTTTTTTAATAACACAAGGGCAGGTTATCAAAAAGAAAAAAGAGATGGAAAATAAAAGAGGCTGGATGTGGAGAAAAGAAACAGTACGAAGCAATGCGATTTCATTTCAGAATAATGGCACTGTTTTAACATCAATACCAGGGATGCAAAAGAGCCCCCAAAAGGGTAGCTTGACAACATCATTATTGAGACATTAAAAAAAAAAAAAAAACACACAGCTGGCCAATTTCAGTTTCGCTTCTTAAACTTCCCAGCATTGGTGGACTAGCTATATAGTCTTATAATTTTCATTGTTATTTTTACTTAAATATTATATAGTCTGTATCTGTATAATTGTTAATAAAATATAATCATATAACCCAATTTGTAACTAGATCATGGTAGTAACCAAAGCAGCTTAGGATTTATTTTGGGGGTTGACGAGTAATTGCCTAATATTTACAAAATATCTTTTAGGAAACCAGCTCTGTGAGGAACAACACACACAACACACAGTCCTCGCTCTCATAGTGTAATTTGCCTGTTATTAACTTGTGTCACTGATTGGAGAGGGAACCCTTGGCACACATAAACATGAGTGAAAAATAAACTCTTGAACGGTGAGTTATCATAAAGAATATACAGAAAATAAATGGCTCAGCGGGGCTGCCGAGGTGGGAGGGAGTCGTGGAAGACGGGGTGATGAACAACAAGCAAAAGGAAGTCCGTTCGGGGAGGAGAAAGGTGAATTTGGCTAAAATGAGGAATTTCTTTCTTTCTTTCTTTCTTTTTTGTTTTTTTAGACAGTCTCACTCTGTCACCTTGGATAGAGTGCTGTAGCATCACAGCTCACAGCAAATTCAGACTTCTGGGCTCAAGTGATCTTCATGCCTCAGCCTCCCGAGTAGCCGGGACTACACCTGGCTACCTTTTCTATTTTTAGTAGAGATGGGGTCTCGCTCTTGCTCAGGCTGGTCTCAAACTCCTGAGCTCAAGCAATCCACCTGCCTCGGCCTCCTAGAGTGCTGGGATTACAAGTGTGAGCCCTGTAAAAAGCAAGGCTAGAAAATAGGATAAGACGAAGAACTCAAGATAAATGCCTCTAAAATATATTTTCTCAAGGAAAGAAATTCTCTTATGGGGGGTTGCTTTATTTTAAGTGGATACTTTCTGACTTTGGAGAAATACTCTATTTTTCTCTAAAAGGCAGCCTCTGAAGCTGGGTAGCATCTGAGTCTTGTTTCCACTACCTTCTGGCTTGTATAACTTTTGGAGAAATCTCACTATTTCCAAGTTTACTTTTTTGTAAAATGGAGATAAAAATGAAAAATATCTGCTTCTCTAGGATGTTCAAAATAAGTGAGATAATTCATCTGAAATACATCGTAATGGTCTTAGCACATAATAGAGTCTTAATACACAGGATTAGAGCCTATTATACATCTGTTGCATCATCAGTTGCAGGATGCCTTACCAAACAATATTCTTACTAGTTTTAAGAAAAATGGTATTCAATGTTAGTTTACCTGTCACTGCCAATTATTCAATAGTTACAGGTCTAAATGATTAAAGCTTTCCCTCCAAGGATTGCCTACAACCTCCTCAGCTTAAACATAAAAAAAAGAAAATCATTCTGTCTTAGAAAAATACATTTGATCTCCAGAAAGCAAAGTGATTATGCAACACAAAAATAATCCCCAAATAACTATACTGAATCTTTACAAAATCAACAACCCGATTATTTCCCACCGTTACTAAAGAAATAAAAAAATTAAGAGTCCTTTGTGTTTTGAGCCAGTTGTATTTACATGCTCGTATCCCAGATTCAAGTCATTGGATAGTTATGTTAAAATTATTCACGTAGATGACATAATTTTCTATGGAATGCCTTAACTTCCTCTATGTCATATAGGATTATAAACCAAACTCTAAAAGTCACATCCAAACTGAGAAAAGAGCATATATATTAGTCATGTCTTACCTAAAAAACATAAAATGTAAGTATTAAGAAAAACCATAGAAAAGGCTTGATTTGAGACTTAAAGAAATATCCCCTACCTGACCTTTAATCTTGAATAGTTCTTTCAACTATAATAGAAATAATGGCAACTATTATCTTCAAAGGTGTTGGTTAATTAATCCTATTCTAACTTTTCACGTTGCTCTTTACGATTCACTTTGTTTATCAGAAAGCCCAGGGTTACATTTTTAGTTCAAGCCACATCAAAGTCCCATCTCTGGCCAGTAAAATTCTCTTCTCTTTTCTTCTAAACAATTTTGTTGCTTTATATATGTGGGCGTGAAAGTTTAGAGTAGGTTTGCTTGAATTTTTTTTTGAAGAGAGTGAAACCATAAACTAGTTTCTCTTATGATTATTTGATTACTTTAATTTACTCTTATATTATACTAGTATACTTCTTGAATTTAAAGTTTTGAGATTTCATAGCCCCAAATATGTGAGAGATCTGAGGAACAAAGCAACTCAAAAAGTCATCACAATGTAACCAACCTCAGTCTCTAGTTAAAAGCTAATTCTGAAGATATACACCCACTTAAAGATAAGTGAGGGTTATGGTTACAATTGATAAATTCCCAAGATGCACCAAGAGAAGTCTTTGATTAAATAAGTGCATACAGCCATGGCCAAACCCGCTTAAGGACAAAGCTGAAAATGGATTCCTTATTTCACTGGACAGAATTTAAGTGAATTAAGGTCTTTGAAAAGATCTTAAAAATTTAAAGTATCCCTCAGATAATGAGACTTTCTTTCTCTACCTAAAAAGCTCTGTATTTTCTCTGTGAACTTAGACTATAAGGAAACAACTAACTCTTCTTCCATGAAACTAATATGCCAGCATCTTATGTTCAAGGTAAGTAAAAAAATAATAATAATAATAATTAAACTCCTAAGGCACAAATATCTACTTTTTCTTTATTGAGTAGGAACTATATTTTTATTTTTCCAAAGCTATAAAAAGGTGTGTGTGTGTGTAAGAGGAGATAGTTTGGAATTTAAAAAATAGTAACGCTCTGTGAGGCTGTTCAGCATGGCCTCTGGGTGAAGGGAACTACAACTTGAACTTTACCTTAAAATTGAAAACAAGGTAATCCAAATATTTGTACCCTTCATATTAATCCAAAATAAAATTTAAAAAAATCTTTACACAAAACCTTCCCCCCAAATAGTAACTTTCTAAGTAAATAGAAGATAAGTCACGACAAGCTTTACCTGACGCCCTTCATAAATATCCCAGCGAAGAAATAAAAGAGAAAGAATTAAAGAATGACTCTAGAATTTGGATATCTATGGAAGGTTGATCCACTGACAACCTCTGATCAGGGAACTGGGTTTTAAATACTATTCCCTTCAAAAAGGACCATCTCATAAATAAAAAACAGAGAAAGTAGTGTCCCACTCGCTAGGCGGGCTGTGTCATGAGAAGCTAAGCAACCTGCCTTGTTGCTCCTCTTCTGAGTCACTGTCAGAGCCCCCGTCATCCTCTTCTTCCACCACGTCGGGGGCGTCGGGTGCCTTCCATGATGAGGCTTCCCTCTCCTTCTCGGGGTCTAAATTATCTTCTTCGTCGTCTGACGGTGACCTTGACGTTCCATTCATTCGCTCCCCGGCCTTTCCTTCCTCATTATCTTTCTCATCTTGTTTCTCCTCCTCTACTTCGAAATCTTCTTCGTAGTCTGAAAAAAAGAAAACCTCCACTGTAAGGATGAAAATAGAACCCCAGATACTTAACCAAATTCACTTTAATGAGAACTTGGAATCTATTATCCTTTCTTTTCTGTGCCTTTCTTTGCCTCTTCTTTTTCACCCAATTAGTGAACATGGAAAACTAATAGCAAATGATCAAAGATCGCAACCGGTTATACACACAAGAGCAGAAGAAGGAAGGGAGCGCCCAGGGACAAGGCGGAAACCTAATAAAAGTTCATTTGCAAATGGACATCGCCATCCACAATGACCAGAATGGAAAGAGAAAAACGTGATCTAAAACAATAAATTAGAAACAAATTAAAAATGAAGAGGACAGGATTATGATAATGCAAGTTAATCTGGCGACTTGATGAGGTCATATTTCATATGAAAAATGTTCAAAATATTTGGATATCAAGTTAATGAATAGTGAAGTGGAAAAATTCAATTAATCAAGCCCAAAGGCCCTAAGAAGTAGCACCGTGAATAGCATATTCTTTGAGAACCAAAATGGACCTTGAGAAAAGGCATTATGAAAGACTCTATCCCTAGGCCAGAGCTGAAATCATATGCATTACTCATTCCTATAATAAATGAAATGATTACACTCCAGAGATAAAAATTCATGCAAAATAGACTATTCCTGTCACGGCCACAAATTTGTTTCATTCCCTACCGAGGTGCAACAGATCCAGAGCAGGAAAAGGAAATTGTCACATCAGACAAACCCCAGCTGTCCCTTGTGGTTATAATTTTTCACCTTTCACATCTAATTGTTCCCCTTTTTTTCCACCAAAACCTAAAAATCTTCAAGTGACAACATGTCCCCGAGAGAGAGCACAAGGATCTCATGCAGAACCAATTAAGCAAATAAACAATTATCCTTAAAATAAAAATTACAGGGAGAATAACGGTTTCCCGATTTTGTGTGTTTTCGTTATCAGATAATCTGGTTTCTCTTCCCGTAGTGGGGGCCTCTTGGGTAATTTACTTGAGAGCTGTCCATCCCGCTGCACTAAAGCAAACTTAATTTAGAAATGGAAGCTCTGTGCATATGAAGAAATCTCTGTAAATGCAGAGAAGAAAAGAAGGATGTGTATGAGGAAAAGGAAAGCAAGGCCTGTAATGAAGTCAAAGAGAATTAACCACATTTAAAGAAGAAATGTGAACATCAGTACAGCCACATTGTAAAATAATTGAGAAGATGAAGAAGTCGCTTTCTATTACTTGACACAAACAGGAAATACTAGCAAAAACAAATAAATATTTTGATCCAAGTATTCCCGACCAAGTCATAGGATAATTCCTCACTCGGCCCTCAGCCCAGTTAACTATCCATCAGTAAGCCCTTATTGAGAGCCTTCTATGAAGAAGTGGATAAAAATGCAAGATAAAAGACATTATAATGAGGCAACACTGCCATAAGGACTCTCCAATTTCTGGTGGGGAGATAAAATGCAGGCACACAGAGACACTGGACTCCGTTTATAGTAGTGTTTATGTCTGGCCCTCAGTAATGTCAGTTTTGACACTACTGGGCTTGGTTGCTATGGATTTTCACTGTGTGAAGTTGTGTCAAGGAAGTGGAATGGACTTAGAGGAGGATGGAAAGTCGTATACTGCATAGATACCATTTCACAGGTATTTGCTACTAGTCACAAGATAAGTAGAGGGCCAGGCGGAATATGAGTGTGTTGCTGCAATTCCTTCCATAATATTACGTAGTAGTGAAATGTGAGGGTTTGGGAGTCAGCAGGGAATATGTCCAAGATCCAGTTAACACACATACTACCCATGTGACCTTGGGAAACATTTTTAAGCTTAAGTTTCTTCATCCATAACGTGGGCAATGAAAAGCTGTGGTGAGTATGAAAAGCCAAAGTTCATGGAACATGCTTAGACCAGTGCCAAGAACAGCAGCAGGTGCCTGAGAGTGTTAGGGGTTAGTAGAAGTAGTGGTTGAGATTGGGTAGTACGGAGAGGCGATCACAGAGTAGCATCAACCATACACCCTGCGTGCTCCATTGGCACCAGCGCACTTTGATGGAGGCACCTGATTAAAGCTGAAGCAGTACCAGTGTCCACAGTTAGGACTCAGCGACAGTCAGACAGCAGAAGAAACAGAGCAGAAAATGGAAGGAACGTGTGGCGAACACAGGAACAGTCCCCCATCCCATTTTGCAGGACCTTTGAGTTTTGTTTCAAATATGAAATTCAAGGCTCCCCGGGTTTATTCTGTCCCCACCATCATCACATTTCAAGATCAGCCTTCTGTTACCCACCAGCCTGCCATTAACACTGTAGACCAAAGCACATCACCTTCGTGTCACCCACTCAAGCTTTCAGTGTGAATGGACTGGTGGTGTGCTTTAGGAAATCTTTTTCAAGATTCTGCACCCCCCTCAATCTCATTTGCCTTCCTCTATAGAATTTAATTAGCTTGTTGTTTACCATCCCTGCTAATGAGGATGTGAGTCAACACCAGGTCAAAATCAAGCCAGCTGCAGCCTTCCCTTCCTGACCTCCACTCGAGCGTCTGGCTGCCCTTACTGTTGGGGGATACAGTATTCTGCAGAGCTAATGGGTAGCTGCTGCTTTCCACTAATGGAAATGGACATTTAAAGTCCATTAACTAGCCAACACGGAAGAAAAGACGTCAGGAAAAGCTTTATCATGGGTATCAAGCATGTCACACATAATACCAGCTATGTTGGTTTAAGGGAACAAAATGAAGAAAATGAAAAGCTTCTGTTAAACCCAACTTGAATAAACCTTCATGTCTTAAGAGGTGAAACACATGAAAATGTGTCCCATTTGTCGATCTCTCTGTGATTGCCATTGCTATAGATATTTTGAAATTCTCAATCTAAAATAAGAATAAAGACCAGAAGGGATCTTGGGGAGACGTAAACTGGGTAAAAATGTTGTAAGCGAAACCTTTTCAAAGATACACATATTATTTGAGTAGTAAACAAAGTCCAGTGCTTTAACAGGCGCTATAATTATTCTGTTAGGTTTCTAAAATCCTTGGGTCACAGCAATATGAGATGAGGAAGCAGATACTTAGTACCTGCCCTTTCCTGACTCTAGCTCTCCCACAGGTCGCCCCAAGTTCTGGCTACCAGGCTTTGTCTCCTAGGAGTAGGGACACTCAGGCAGGTCCCCCCTCCAAGGCTCTGTATACCTCATCCACAACCACATAGTATCTTTGCAGTTGTGAATTGTGCTGCAATAAACATTTGTGTGCAGGTGTCTTTTTGATAAAATGACTTCTTTTCCTTTGGGTACATACCCAGTGGTGGGATTGCTGGATTTAATGGTAGATCCACTTTTATTTCTTTACGGAATGTCCATACTGTTTTCCATAGATGTTGTACTAAACTTCAGCCCCACCAACAGTGGATAAGCATTTCTTTCTCCCACATTCACACCAGTGTCTATGGTATTCCCTTTCCCTTTCCCTCTCCCCTTTCCTGTCCTTTCCTTTTTTTGACAGAGTCTTACTCTGTCCCCTAAGCTAGAGTGCTATGGCATCATAGCTCACAGCAACCTCAAATGCTTTGTATTCAAGCAATCCTCCTGCCTCAGCCTACCAAGATCTGGGACAACTGGTACCTGCAGCAATGCCTGGCTAGGTTTTCTATTTTTAGTAGAGAGGGAGTTTCACCCTTGCTCAGACTCATCTATAACTCCTGAGCTCAGGCAATCTACCCGCCTCAGCCTCCCAGAGTGCTAGCATTATAGATGTGAGCCACTCCCAATTGTTTTCAGAGTTCTTAATAAAAGCCATTCTCACTGGATAAGGTGATATCTTATGGTAAGGTCATTATGGCTTTAATTTGCATTTCCCTGATGATTAGTGATGCTGAACATTTTTCATAATCGTTTGTCTATCTTCTTTGGAAAAGCTTCTGTTCATGTCTTTTGCATACTTTTTAATATGGTTATTTGGGTTTTTTTTAAACTTTTTTCTTATTGATTATTTGCTTGAGTTCTTTGTAAATTATTGTTATTAGGACATTATCAGATGTATAGCTTGCAAATATTTTCTCCTATTCTATAGGTTGTCTATTTGCTCTATTGATTATCTTCTTACCTGTGCAGGGCCTTTTAATTTAATCAAGTCACATTTATTTATTGTTGTTGTTACTGTAATGCCACTGAGTTCTCAGTTACAAATTCTTTGCCTGGGCTGATATCAAGAAGAGTTTTTCCTACATTTTCCTCTAAAATTCCATGGTCTTCATGCCTCATAATTGGATAGCCACATACAGAAGAATGAACCAGGATCCGTATCTCCCACCACTCACAAAACTTAATTCCAGATGCTACCCTCATTTTGTATGTCTGAGCCTCAGTTTTCCAGTTGATAAAATGGAGGAAATAATAACACCCACCCCACTGAATGGTGAGGATAAAATGAGATAGTTTATAGAAAGGGTCTGGGCCAGTTATCAGCACCTGATACTTTTACTTTTGCTGTTATTACTCTACTTTAGGTTTTCTACTTATAGACAAACCTCAAAAGTATTACAGTTATAATCCTAGAGCAATGCAATAAAGCAAATACCATAAGTGAGATGCAATTTTTTTAGTTTACCAGTGCGTATAAATGTCATGTTTAAACTATGCCATAGTTTATTAAGTATGCAATAGCATTAAGTCTAAATTACAATGTATATACCTTAATTTTAAAATATTTTTTAAAAGGCTAATGGTCATCCAAGCCTTAGTGATGTCATAATCTTTTCCACTGGTGGAGGGTCTCACCTAGATGCTGATGGTGCTGACTCCTCAGCGTGAGGGATACAGAAGCTTGGGGCACCTTTGGCAATTTATTAAAATAACACAACAGTGGACTTTTCCTCTCATGAAGGATTTCTCAGTAGCATGTGATGCTGCTTGATAGCATCTTACCCCCAGTACAAATTCGTTCAACATTGTAATCTGTCCTCTCAAACCCTCCTGCTGCTTTCTCAACCAAGTTTAGGTCAATATCCCACATCCTTTGTTGTGTCATTTCAACCATGTTCAGGGATATTCACCAGGAGGAGTTTACCCCTCAGGAAACACATTCTTTGCTCATCCATAAGAAGCAGCTCCTCCTCATCTGTTCACGTTTCACTGTGATATTGGAGCAATTCAGTCACATCTTTCGGATCCACTTCTAATCCTAGTTCTCTTGCTATTTTTACCCCCTTTGCAGTTACTTCCTCCACTGAAGTCTTGAACCCCTCAAAGTCACCCACGAGGGCTGGAATTAACTGCTTCAATCTCTTGTTAACATTGATATTTTGACCTCTTCTCCTGCATAACAAGTGTTCTTAACTAACGGCATCTAGAACGGGGAGTGAATCTTTAGAGGTTTCAGTTTACTTTGCTGAGATTTACCAGAGGAATAACTGTATGGTACCTCTCACCATCAAAGTGTATTTCTTGAATAACAAGACTGGAAAGCTGAATTTACTCCTTGATCCGTGGGCTGAAGAAGCGATGCTGTGTTAGCAGGCATGAAAACACTAATCTCCTTGCATGTCTCCATCAGAGCTCTTGGTGACTTATCAATGAGCAGCAATATTCTGAAAGGAATCTTTTTTTCTGAACAGTAGGTCTCAACAGTTGGCTTAACATATTCATTAGATCATGGTATAAACAGATGTGCTGCCCTGTAGGCTTCATTGTTCCTTTTACAGACCACAGGCAGAGTACATCTAACGTAATCATTAGGGCTCTGGGATCTTCAGAATGATAAATGAGTCTCAGCTTCGTTAATGTCACCAGTTTCATTAGCCTCTAGTAAAAGGGTCACCCTGTCCTTCGATGCTTTGAGCCAGCCAATGACTTCTCATCTCTGACTATGAAAGTTCTAGATAGCATCTTTTTCCAATATAAACCTGTTCCGTCTACACTGGAAATCTAATGTTTGGTGCAGTCACCAATTAGCATCTTAGCTAAGATCTTCTGAATAACTCACACGTCTACATCAGCTTCTTTCCTTAAACTTCATGAACCGACCTCTGCTAACCTCAAACTTGCCTTCTGCAGCTTCCTCACCTCCCCCAGCCTTCGCAGAACTAAAGAGAGTTGGGACCTTGCTCTGGGTTAGGCTTTGGTGTAAGCGACTGCTTTAATCGTCTATCCAGGCCAATAAAACTTTCTGCATATCAACCACAATCCCATTTTGCCTTTTCATCGTCCATGTGTTCACTGGCGTAGCACTTTTAATTTCCTTCAGGAGCTTTCCTTGTGGGTTCACAGCTTGGCTGACTGGCAGAGACCTCTCTTTTGGTCTACCTTGGCTTTTGATGTTCCTTCCTCATTAAGTTTTATCATTCCCACCTTTTGATTTAAACTGAGAGACATGCTACTCTTCCTTTCATTTAAATACTTACAAGCCATTGTAGGGCTATTAATTAGCTTAATATCAATACTGCTGTGTCTCTGGAAATAGGGAGGCCCAAGGAGAGGGAGACAGATGAAGGTATGGCTGGTTGGTGGAAGACTCAGGACACAAGCAATAGTAAGTGGGCTCTCTTATACGGGTGCAGTTTGTGGCACCCCAAAACAATTACAATAGTATTGGGTGGTGCCTGTGGTACAAGGAGTAGAGCACCAGCCCCATATGTCAGAGGTTGTGGGTTCAAACCCAGCCC